ACGAGAAATATTATTAAATGGTAAAATATACAAATCATCTTCATTGAAAAAAAAAAAAAAAAAAAAAAAAAAAAACATACATTTATATATTTTTCACTTTTTTTATAACTTTGTTAATTTTATCGTTTAAAGGTTTGACTAAATAATTATTCCATAATGAAGTTAAATTATTCTGGTTAGTAACTTTACTAACTGTCTCATATATTAAATATAAATAATTAAATTTTGGAGTAATTAAAATAATATAAATAGATAAGTGTAAAAAGCACCACACAGATGAATTAATTTTATAAATAATTGTTCCTACTAATGGTGTTATCATATTTTCAAAAATAACAAAAAAAAAAATATATTTTAGATAATATTCTACCATATCATATTTCTTATTATTCCATCCATGAAAAGAAAGCCCAATTGGTAATAAATAACCCACGAGAAATATTATTAAATGGTAAAATATACAAATCATCTTCATTGAAAAAAAAAAAAAAAAAAAAAAAAATAATAAATAATTAAAAATATATTAATAATAAGATTATTTATGTAAAATAAAATTTATATATATAAATCTCCAAAAAAAAAAAAAAAAAAAAATGTATGTCAAAATTTTATATAAAATTATTCATAAAACTGATGTAATTAGGTTTTAGTTAATTTGTTATTATAATAATAAAAATATTTTTTATATAAAAATTAAAACGATAAATATATATATATATATAAAAATATTAATATCCAAACAATTTAATTAAATAAAAAATTTTAAAAAAAATTAAATTTCTAAATTAAGGTTAAAAAAAAAAAAAAAAAAAAAAAATGTGTATAAGTGGTATATTTTTGTTTTGTTATTTTTAATTTTAATAAAAAAATCACTGTACTTGATCTATTTTTTTTAATTAAAACTTTTTGTATATGTATTATGTAAATTATTATTTCTTTAACATGCGTAAAAAAAAAAAAAAAAAAAAAAAAAAAAAATTACAAAAAAGATACATTTAAGAATAATTAAATAAGCATATAATGTAAGCATATGAAAACATATCTTAAATTTTTTTTGCTTCCTTATTTTTTTTTTATATAAATTATTGCAATCATTTAATTTTTTTTAATAAAAAATAACACTTCTATAAATCTACATAAAATATATCTCCATATATATGTTTATATTATTTAATTCCTCCTTATCTAAAAGTATATTATAAAAAGAGTCAAATAATATCTTGTACATATTTTTACCTCGAGAAGTGTTTTCATATTATTATTCAAATTAGTATGTTTTTTTTTTTTTTTTTTTTTTTTTTTTTTTTATTT